TACTTGATTGTTTGTTTGATTGCTTGTTTGTTTGATTGATTGTTTTTGTTTGTTTGTTTATTTGTTTGGTTGTTTGATTGATTGATTGTTTGCTTGCTTGCTTGTTGGTTGTTTGGTTGTTTGTTTGTTTGTTTGTTTTTTTGGTTTGTTTGTTTGCTTGTTTGTTTGCTTGTTTGTTTGTTGTTTAGTGGAACAGCATGGAAACGCCATGTCCAAACGGCCTAAGATGATTTTTGGGCTAGGGTCACACCAAACACCAGTCCTGGTGTTCTTGTTTGAGGCGTGGTACCCTTTTCAGGCGGGTTTAAATGGACATCTAAATCCAAACACAAAGCCATTTTGGGAGGCCCAAATCCCTATTTTGACGCATACCCAGTTGGCCGAGCCCGACCAACCTTCAAAGGGCCCTTAGGAACGGCCCAAAGATGTCTAGGCTTGCTAGCCCGCGGCTTGACACACTCGCGCAAATTAGGGACGCAGGGAACCCCACAAAAACACATTGGGAGTTCTTCGGTGGGAGTGATCGGGTCCCCCAAACGCTTTGGGCAAAAACGGCTGTTGGCCACATGTGGCCAAATTGTCTGGGACGGGGTGTGTCGCCATGTCGACTCGGGACAACCTTCAACGGCCAAACAACTGCAATGTGTTGTTCGGATTTACTCCTCGGACCCATCTCAGGAGTGTGCAAAGTCATGTTGTGGAGTGTATTGTTGGGTTTCGGAAGCCTGTGCTTCCTCCACGCCAAAAAGATTAACTTCGTGGTCACAGGGGTATCTCAAAGGAGGACACTAAATTGGCTGATTTTGTTGTTCGCTCCTCTGGACTCTCAAACAGGCCCAAAACTGTACCAGCACATTCGACAACAAGGCACGCATGCGCATGCGACAATTTTCTTGCATACTACAACAAGACATCCTACAACACAAAAAAATAACAAAACATACAACACAACATATTACGACAAGACAAAGGTATACAAGAAACATGCAACCAGCTTCTGTTTCGCGAAGTGCCTGCCTCAAGAAACCCGGCAAGGCTACAAGATGGCTCAGGGCTGTGCCATTTTCATCCGGAGAATTGCATGACCGGATAGGAGTCTTTTGTTACCGCATGAGAAATTTGGGTGCAATTCCTTGGTTGGCCTCAAATCAACAGACGACTCCCCTAAAGATTGACGTGGACCCCCCCCAAAAAAAAACATATCATGTTCAAAGTGGATCGAAAGACTTGGACCAAATCGCTTCTTGGGCTGAACATAGAGGGACCAATGGAATTTTCTGCGTTCGATCTCTCCCGCCGTTTAACTGATTCAGCTCCCTCCCTCCTTTCTTGGTTGACGTTGGACGGGGAGCAAAAAAACAAAATTTAGCAGCTAAGTGGTTGGATATTTCAACCACTCAACCACAATAAGCAAAGATGTAAAACTAAAAATGTTTTCCAACAACAACCATGTATTGGTGGGTTGGTTGAAGGGGGGACCCCAGGAGAACCAACATGTGTTCATGTGTTGTTCTAGTTGTTGTCTTCAGGGGTATTAACCAGCCCTCCCTCCCTCCCTCCCTCCCTCCCTCCCTCCCTCCCTTGCCTGAAGGCAATGAGCATGTTCTGCGCCCTGCGCTGGCTCAGGATCTCCACCTCCTGGCTACCCGCAAAGTGAAATTGGATGGGTGGCTCAGCTTTTTGAGGCTGCACCCCGCTTGTTGCTGGGTTTTGAAAGGAAACAAAATGAACACCACCATTCTAGGCTGGAATTAGGACCCCAGCAAAAAAAATATATATTTGCCTGGTTCGTGGAAAAAACAAAGGGACCCCAAAAAAGAAAAAAACAAGAAAAAGGAAGCGAATTCTGGTTGGAAGCATTTTGGTGGTCCCCGAAAAAAGAATGACAGCCACATGGCACCAGCCCTTTGGCTTGGGGGCACTGCCTCCTTTCTGCGGGGTGTTGTGTGTGCTGAAGGGTGCAAGAAAACTGGGAAGCATCGAACAACGACGCATGCCCAAAAAAAAGCCTTACGTGCAATATGAAATCCTTCGGCCAGCCCGCAGTCGCAGCACCTTGCTTGGGGGTGCAAAACGTGCCAAGCTCGACTATTATTCATCGTGTGAACATCATTTGCCGCGGGTGATGACCCAAAAATACTTTGTGTCCCTGAAATCATCAATTCTGCACACACACACACACACACAAGCAACAGCCCATCATATCAGGCCGGACCCGGTCGTGCGGCATGGCGCCTTTTCTCCTAAAAGCCCCAGCCAGGGTCGGGCCGAGGACCACTTCCCGGTTTCACCAAATGGGTATGACCGGGATGTGTCAAAAATCGTGGAAGTGGTGACATGGCCATGGGTCCAAATCCACCCCCAGTGAACATCCCAATCCACACGAAAATAAGTTCTAAAATGGGTGGTGCACCTACCCCAAATTTTTACCACTGGTTTTGACCCACAGCCACATCCTGGCTCTTTGCCTTTTGGCGTTCCTTTTGAACCAAGCTGACAAGTGGATACCCTAAGACACAAAGCCACCGACGAACTCCAAGCTGGACCCATCGACGTGTCCTGAGCCTGCGCTGGCGGTTGGCCAGGCGTAAGCCTGGCACCTCAGCACGCTGGGCAGTTTGGCCCCAAACGACCAAGTGCGTCCCCGCGAATTCACCTGAAACCTAAAACAACGATGCCCCCCAAAAGGAGTCCCCCATAAATTAGGGTGGTGACTTTTTGTTTGGTTCCATGAAACTATGTCCACAGGGGTGTAAAGGAGATCAGCTCTTGGACTGTCATGAATAAAGACGTCAGGTGGTGGACACCGACACGATCCAACACGTCACGAGCAAGTCCCTTTGGAAAACACACAAAGGACAAACAAAAACAACAACAATGCCAACCAGTTCAGGCGTGCACCCCCGCCCCATTATTCTAAGGAAATCAACAACAGTCAGTTAATATACTCAGGACTCATAGGTGTCCCTGAGGAAACATTGATGCTTCACTCCTTCTAGGAAAACACCGAATCAATTCGCGGGTGCCTACTCAAATCCAGGCTCATTCAGAGGGGATTCTTCACTTTGAACAACCAAACGTCGTCAATTGCTTTTTTACGAAAAGTATAAAGAGTCCAGGAACTCACAAAGTGAGGGGGGGTTCCTCCCCCCATCCGAGGAGGGGTCCCCCCCCTCTTGTCGGTGGGGGGGGGGGGGAAAAAAACAACAACAACCGACCGCCCGCCCGACGCTGGGCTTCTGGCTGGCGCCGAAATGGGCGGCCAGGCTGTTCAGGTCCACGAAGTCGGGTCCTGCGGGGTGCGTCGCGGTGATACCAAAACAGGGATGGTAAATGTGCCAAGCGGGATTCGCCATGGATACTTTAGCACCTAGAGGATTACCTAGAGGATTCCGTTGGTACAGTGGACCCTAAAACCCTGTTTCCCACAACCATGGGCCCTGACTGCGAGAGCTGACGCGAGTCTTCTTTGGCCCTGAGTTGACGAGCGAGACAAAGTTTCAAAAACTTGTTGGGCCTTTACTAAACAGCAAAGCTGTCGTTTACACTATTTCCAACTGCCACTCGTTGAACACATTTCCTCCAAGGGCCCAAGGGTGATCCGATCCCAACACATAGCCGCAAAGAACAGACCAGCAATTCTTTTTGAGACGATTCCATGAAAATCTCACCACGCTGATGCTCCAGAACCTCGTAGACATTTGGCCCCTGAACCAGGAAAACAAAAAAGACCCGCACAAATAGCAATGTTCCGCCTTTTGTGGTTTGGCCATTGTCATGGTTCCAGCAAACCCTATACCACCCGCAGAAGTGGCATGTTTCCACCTTTTGTGGTTTGGCCGTTGCTGCAAGCAAGCCTGACATCGTACCTGGAGCCACAAAAAGACACGCACGCCACCCACCCAAGAGACGCGCTGACGATTCCTCCTGTGAGCCCCTCGAACACGGTGTGCTGCAGCTTCTCCGGAGCCAAGGCTCGCCACTCGATCCACCTAACTCAAACGGCCAGACGAAAGCGGCCGAAAGCTGTCGAATTCAAAAAGGGGAGGGGGCCTACAATGGGTTGACAGGATCTGCAAACTGACATCAAGTCATGATGATGGGGGCATCCTCCCTACCTGGGGGAAGGGAGTGGGGGTCCCCCAATTCCAGTTCCAGGGGTCAAGGGGGTGGGGATGAGGGGGCGGTGCTGAAGATCCGTTTCCGAAATCCAGACAAATCCCCTTGTTGACGCATCTCACTCCTTTCTGCGGGTTGGCAAAAGAAAAAGTCACCAAGCCTTATGTGTGCCACTAAATGTGGCCTTCCCAGAAAGTCTACAGGCCAAGAACTCAGGGAGTGAGTAATATAATGATGTCCCATTGCAAAAAGCAAAAAACACTGCGCTGTTTTGCGGGGAGTACCCCAAAACCATCCTTATAATCCAGCACGATGAGTCCAGCACGTCGGACCCAGGGGTACGTTGCTAGGTACACCAAACCTGAGATGTGCAGACTCCTCTTCATATTTTGTCGGTTCCCCCGAAAAAGAGAAAAAAAGAAAACATCTTTAGGACACCCCGAATAAAAATACTCGCCCCAACATTTGGGGCCGCAAAAATCGTCTTTTGAGGGTATCCCTTTACAACCACCCAAAGGGTCCCCCCAACATGACTTGCCTGGAATTGGGACCCCAGAAAAACAAATGCCCGGTCAGCGGAAAACAATGGAAACCTCAAAAAACAAAAAGGAGCTCAAAGGGGACCTCAAAGGGGACGGACCTCAAAAAGGGAGCTACTTCTGGGGAAGATGGCAGGACTGCTCGCGCCTGGCATAGGGCCTCCGGGGCCGGGCACTCGGCGCTTTGCTCCTCTCCCGCGGCGGGGGAGGTGGGGGGCTGCCCTTGCCTTTGCCTGCGCCGCGGGGTGTGTGGGCGGTGGGGGAAGGGGAGGGGGTGGGCTATTTCCCCCACTAGTGCCCGTTTACCTTTTTTTGGGGGAGAGGGTTCCTTTACTAAGGGGTGGTGGGAAGGGGGGGTGGGAAGGGGGGGTTTGTGTGGGGTGGAGGGCAGTTCGGAATTTCGAAGTACTTACCACACCCACCACTGAACAAGGGGGACATTTTGCAAGCCAGGCCCTGTAGTTTCTGTTTGATCTGGCTTTGCTTAATGCTGTGACCACTGGGCGCGTGGTTGACTCAAAGCCATGCTTCCGGTCCCCCGTTTTGGTAAGCCAACAACCGGGTCCCCAGGAAACTAAGAGCCAGAACTCCTGGGGAAGCAACCCAATAACAAGAAGTTCAGGGGGTGCCACTCAACTGAAACCTCGCTTGCTCAAGTTGATGCAGATGCAGCGCCTTTTTCCATGTTAATGAGGATTAGCTTTTTGGGGGTTCTTTTGATGGAAGCCAAGTGGAAACTACGTTCTTGGGGAGGTGCGTTGAAGAAAAAGCCCTACCTCGCCATCCGCAAAAGGCAGCCCCGCCTTTTGCGGGAGCCTTCACCTCTACCTTCGGAGCTTCCTCCTCTTTCTTCTCGCTGACCTCCTGCCGACGGAGCAAAACCTGTGCATCCCACAGCCTAACAAGAAGCAGTCGGCAAACAGCATCTCCGCAACAGAACAGTGACTAATGACCAATAACTACAACACAACAATACTACTGCAAACCACACAAACAAACAAACAAACAAACAAACAAACACACACACACAGAGACAGAGACAGAGACAGAGACAGAGACAGAGACAGAGACAGACACAGACACAGACACAGACACAGACACACACACACACACAGACACACACACACAGACACACAAACAAACAAACAAACAAACAAACAAACGAATAAACAAACAAACAAACAAATACAATCACGCAGAAACACACCGACGCCGAATCACTTCTAGCAGCCCACTGCACTCCTCAAACTCCTTCGCCAGCGACCGGCGCACGCCCGCGCCCGCGGATGTGTCGCCAGCGTCGTTGGCGCTGGCGCAAGTGGCGCTCTCGGCGGAACTGGGCACCCGAGTGGAGGCCTCAGAAGCGGAGAAACGGAATGGGTCTTATCCTCAGAAGCGATTGCCTCCTTCATTTTCAGGTTGCCGTTTGCCGATTTTGATTTATGAGGCACTGTGGAACCGGCATATTTGGCCGTGGGTCAAAATCCTGTACCCCCAGTGAACATCCGATTCAATCCCAACTAAAATATACTAAAATGGATGGTGCACCTATCCCACAATGGTACCGTTGGTGTTGAACCATGGCCAAATGAGTCATAATCAAAACCCGGTATTAAAATGGTGACCCCAGAACCATGATGCTTCAAGAATTAAGAAGGCGGATGTGTGAAGCTATTTATGGCTAGGATTGTCCCTTACTAATCTTCTTCTACCCGGGTTTTGAGCACGTGGCTCATCTGTTTTTGTGGGTGCCTTGATCTTATATGCAGCAAGCAACAAGGATTGGTTTTGAATCAACCTGTTAGTCTTTTTTGTCCGATTGAGGGATTGCCTTTTTGCTTTCTTTTTTGTGGGAGAAAGCAACGAGGGTTGATTTTGAACCAACCAGTTAGAATTAACATCATTTATATTTGCTATCGTCCGAGGGTACCATTTGTGTGGTTGGCCGTGGAACTTAGATGCAACCATGGAATGCTTGCGGGATGGTACCCCAAGTGCGGGTAGTTGCCAACAAGTTGTGGTTTGATGTGGTTGGCCCATGTAAGGAATCCACCCTACTTGGGAAGCCCCAGCATTCGCTCAGGGATCAAGAGGTTCAGGGATCAAGAGGCTTCGGGAACCTGCCGATGGACCTCCTCTAAGGGGCCTAATCCAGTTGATCTCCTGAACCTGTCAGCAAGGATTCAGCAAGGGTCAGGGTTCACACATCCCCATTTTCTCGCATGTGACCTTTAGTATGACGGGGGTGGAAAGGGAAGGTAAAATGAGCACTTGCTACTACCAATGGTGGGCGATTTCTCCTCCTGCGTTCCTTCCAGTTGAGTCACAACCAGGACTTCTACCGAGCGCCTTGGCATGGGGAGTATCCCCTAACCTTTATTCACCCGAATCGGTTTTAATTAATTGCTTTACGTTCAGTCACAAGAACCCTTCAAGGAAAACAAAGGGGAAACCACTGAGTTGCGGGATGCCCCAGGTTGAGACACACCAACATTAGCTCACCCCAAGGACACTCCTTTCAATATGGCCCAAAGGTTGATGTTCAAGCAACCAAAACAAAGGATTCATAGTGACCCATCTTGTTGACCGGGGGTCGGTTTTCCCAAGAGAAAACAACGGGTTAGACAGCCGTTTGGGCCTCACTTTGATTGCTGAGGTGACAACCCCATATCCTAACCCAACACATCCAAGTACCTTCGGACGTCAAGTTCCAAAAACGGCTAGCAGCGGAATCCTGCACCACGTAAGCACGCTGGAATGATGATTCCGCTGTAAACTCCAACAAACGTTGTGGTTTCATTCCCATGTCAACTCATTTCGTGCGGTCGAAGGGATTTCGCAA